GCATGCCACCAATTCTTTCTGTTTTCTGTGTTGTATGTTTTAGTCTCAGACTTATAGTCTTCATATTTACAGAGAGACTTTTTTTCAGTTGCATGGTGATCTCTATCAGGCTATATTTACAAGTATGAAAAGGGTGGTTCGCATGGATAGACTTACTCAGTTGAATACTTAGCACATCTCCTTTTCGGAGAAAACTACCAAATATCAGTATTGATACATTTAGCTTTGGGAAGTGCAATCCATTTTTGCCCCTAGACAAGGGCCAATAAACAAATTAAATGCAAGCACAACCTCAGTGGCAAGACAGGAGTTAAGGCAAGCCTCACCATTCTAGATGCATTCACAAACCTCTCATTTTCAGTCTAGACCCTTTGGTGTTTTGAAGGAAACTGCTCCCCATAGGCAGTTTGAATGCCCCCACTGGAAGAAGTTTGGGGGGAAAAATAAGAGGTGTGGCCTTGTTGGGGGAGGTGTGTCACTGAGGGTGGGCTTTTAGGTTTCAAAAGCCTGTGCCGTCCTCAGCTAGCTTCTCTGCCTGTGGTTGCTGACTCAGCACTGACGCGCTCAGTTACTGCACCAGGGCGCTGCCTGCAGACCCGCGGCCACGCTCCCTCCACAGTGCTCATGGGTTCTCCTACCCCCACCCCCCGAACCATGAACCCCCAGTTCATCGTTATCTTCACTGCTGTCTCCTCCTCTCTCACTGCTGGGGTTTTCTCCCTTATCCACTAAATAAATGTTTCTTGGGTCTTAGATTTTCTCATGTGGTATCAACCATCCACAATGAAAGTACAAATTGGAGAGTTCTAACTCGGGCCTTTCATTGTCTCCTCAAAAGAAAACTCAAATCCAACTCTCCACTCCAGCTCCACATATCCAATGACACCATGATTTGATGGCCTCTGGTCATTTCATATAACACATGGGCAAACTATATTTTTTACATGTCATTCTAAATTTCCCTACTGGCTGTCAAAACTCACTGAATCCTCACCTTATTGTACACGTCCTTTAAAATCATTTCACTCCTTCTGGTTTACTTTTTATCTTATATCCCACTGCCAGGCTAATCCTTCTGTATGACTAAATTTAATATGGCATCTCTCTGACACAAAAGTGTTCACAGTGTTACAGGACATGGTATCAATATCTCATTGTAATATTCAAGCTGCCTTTCAAATCATTTACTCTATTCTTCAAACCACTTTTCCTCAAATGGACACACTTCCTGCTATGCAGATACCACACTTAGCCCCCTTTCTGTCTCTTCAGGGTTACCAAATTTTATATTCCCACCTAGGTCTGCTAAAATGTTAACTTCTCTGTAATCAGTTAACCATTTCAAAGTATACTCATGCTTGTACCATTCCCTGGCATCTACTGATGTTTACAATGTAGTACTCATTAGTCTTGGTGACTTAATGGGTCTTCTTCCTTTCCACCTAAACTATAGTACGTCCTACCAGGTGGCAGGCAATGAATATGGTATGATGGGTTGTGCATAAATAAAATGCTATTGTTGATACTGACTACACCATGTCTTTATTTTACCACTTTATGAAGAAATCAAGTTGTTTTACATACAATAAAAAGGAAAATTAAGCTTACACACAGGTAAGTGTAGTTAGTAACCTTCATCAAAGATGCCTCTCTTACAGCAAATGGAGAGCATCACAGAAAACTCACAACTGCACACAAGGCAGAAATCAACAGCCTGAAGGAGCCCAGCCCAAACAGACATATCTACATCACAGCTCCTGCATCTGTGACTCAGGGAACATTGCAGAGAAGAAGGTAGAAAGATCCTAAGAGCCACCCGGAACTTGGCTTGTAAAACAGTATCTCCAAGAAATGACTGCATAAAAACAACACTGAAATGACAGTAATATCAAAGGACATGTTAGCATGGAAAGGGGAAAAGTCCATGGGGTCAAAGTGTGTGTGTGTGTGTGTGTGTGTGTGTGTGTGTGTGTGATTTTAACCCAAAGATCAGTGTGTATCTATGCTTAATGAAAATATTTTTAAACTAATTACAAAGTAATTTGTAGATACGACCATGACTGAAGGCACAATACCTTATGGGCTTTAACATTCCACCAGAGCAAGGAACTATTTAATGGTATTTAACTGAAACTATTTTTCCCTTTTAAAAAGTTTGTATAAATGGTTTAATAAAGTCAAAGTAGGAAATTATTAAATACATTGTTGACTATTTAAGAAAATAAAAACAAGAGTATATTTACTAGGTGCTGAAATCAAAACTCTAAACTGTATCTTCAGTTTTTAATAATCTCATACTAGGAACAGGGATGGTTTGGGGGGGGGGAACCCTCCTAAAACAATTTTAGTCCCAAATATATATATAGGTAAGTCTTGATTTGTAAATTGTTCTGAATTTACAAGTGGGGAAATTACTTTTTATAGTTTACAATTTATAGATCATGGGATCAATAATATAAACTAAGCTTTGGTAATGACAACCTGTAAATCCTTCTTATTTGACATGAAGATCCAAGCTCAGATTCCATCCTCTTTAATCCTTTATTCAGCAGTAACCTTTTCAAAGATTTCTAAACAAATGGACCCTTCAAAGATTCCTTAAAGAGATTTCAACTAAATTGAATTTCATAAATCCAATTTTATCATTTCTTTATAAAAAAAAATTCATAGTAGAGAAGTGGCCTCATTCAAAGACTGAGAATCCAAATGATAGCATCAAGATGTCCAGGAACGGGATGGGGATATAGCTCACTGGTTAGGAGTACTTGACTGAATGCAAGAGGACCAGACTTCAGATCTCTAATATCCATGTGAAGCCAAGCATGGCTAAGTATGCTTAGAAGCTCGACATGTGTGCGTATGGAATGGAGGTAAGGGAAGAAGGTGGCAGGCAGATCTTTGGAGTTCAAGGTCAACTGCTGCCCTATCGGGACTGAATGCCCAGGGAAAGCACTAATAGAGCTCAAGCATGTGCATGTCCCAGTGCCACAGTGGATGGTGCCTAAGAGGAGACTGGTGACCATGATCAAATATAACTGAACAAAGCCTAATAAAAGATCCTTTCCTTAAACTGAAATTCTAGCTTGCACACCAAATTATTTTTAACTTACTATGACATTAGAGATCTTTAGGAATGGAACTCCTGACAGATAATGTCAGAAAGGCTCCCAAAGGCCCTAAAGATGTAAAGGAGTAACTTGGAACTGCGGGCACTGAAGAAGTTACCTATCGAAAATATATATCTGTGCTGAGAGTAAAAGGTTGATTTTAGAAGAGTCTTTTTTCTCATAGAAATAAAACATAACATAAAATTGGGTAAGCCCTTAGAACTGCCCCCAGTAGAATCACTGGTGTACCATCCAAAGCCACCATGGTTGTCCACTGTAAGTTACAAAAGAAATTTGTACTTCAACTCTTTTCTGAGTTGAATTAATTCAGTAATGAATGATATCCTTTCTGTAACATGAACCACCTACAAAAACTTTGTCATTAAATGATAAGCAATGAAATCTATCTAAAAATGATCATCTAGCTGGGATGCTCCACTGCATTTTTTAAAATGCCTGACATGCTTCAACTTACCCCAGGTGATGGAAAGGGTGGAGGCCATGAGACACACCTCTCAATGGAGGTGGCAGGCTTGCCCTCCAGTCAAATAATTTTGAACCTGTTTTTGCAGTGAGTAACAGCATTAGGAACTTCAAGTTTAAACTGAACTAAATCTGAAACTTACTGAAGCACATCTGATATTCAAGCTGGAAGGTCTCATTATATATTTCTATGCAAATAAGTTACGATTTTAAACAATGCCATCTTTTTAAAAAGTATCCTCAGGAGAATTTTAGAAGTGTTACAGTTCTGAAAATATTCATTCAGCCTTGTAAACAGTCTAGAAAGTAGAAATCCATCCACAATGACAAGGTTACAGTTACCCTCCATCACTAAGGGAGAACAGTTTAGACAAAACAAATAATGGAATCTCCTAAGAGGAAAATTAGAATTAACTAAAATAGTCCATGTTGAAGAGTTAAGATATGTTTGTAATTACTATGAATTTTATGTCAGGAGGTTTATGGATAAAAAAATGGACCTAACCTTTAATCAAGAATGTCACACTTTAAAAAAAATTGTAATGGAAAGCACAAGAAATAAAATTGAAACAGTATATTTGATTCAAAAAATAAATTTTTGGAAGTGGTGATACAATATAAGGATACATATGACTATAATTATCTTTTTATCAAAAACAAGTAAAATCTTTTCAAAGAAATTGTATTTTTAAGTGTATCAGCAAGGCTAAAGATATTTATCTGTCCCTTATATTGTGGTCAATGTGTGTTAATTATGAAGTCCTGATTATATTCTAAATCTAGGCCTGTTGAGCACAGAGCTGTCCAATAGAACTTGTTGCCGTGGAAATGGCTTATATCTGCATCTTTGACTGCCAGGAACTTAAACTGGGAGAGCTGTAGCTGAGGAATTGAAATTTAACTTAATTTAAAAATAGCCACATATGACTAGTGTCTACCACATTAAAACATACAGCCTAGAGGGTCAACTTGCAAGCCTAACTCTCAGGTTAAATTAGGTTTCACTATTATTTGCTTGTTCATTTTCATAAACATAGTATTCATAAATGTTTATAAGAATACTATACTGAAAATGTTTTTGTCCTGTGGCATTATTGTCATTTTAAAAATATGCCAGTGAATATCTACTCCTAAACCAAGATAAACCCAAGTAGAAAATACTGCCTGCGAGGAGGATTCCTATTGGTGTTTGCAGTATGTCAGTACAACCACACTGGTTAATGAGGCGGCGTGGTGGCCTATGTCAATCTGTCTAATGGTCACTCTAGAATGACTAAAATTCAAACTATGAAATAAACACTCCTGAAAAGTTTTTTCCCCCATTATCTATCAAAACACAAGAATACCAATTATTACACAGCTTTCAGCTCCACCGGTTAAACACTGCGAAAGCTTGTCAAACCATTTTACCTGACAGACGTATTTGTTCTTCCATTTGCTCAGTACACACTGACTGGTTTGCATCAGTTCCTGGAGGACAACAGAAAGAGAGAGTGCAGTTGGCTTCACACTCGGTCATTATCAGTTAAAGTGCTGCTGATTTGCAAAGAGAGAGAAAAAAAAAAAAAAAAGGAAGGCGAACAACAAGCCACACAAAGAGGCAATTGTGTGAGAAGCTCTCACTCCATAGAGGCAAAGCCATCATCACAAGGAGAGCTGGTCCTTTATGAAAATTAAATCTGTTGAAAGATGTTCTAAAGCAGATCTGTTTGTTCCCATTTTTGAAACCTTTTGAAAGTTACCTCCAACTCTTTCAGTGAATCTCGAAGTTTTTCTGGGCGTCTATTTTTGAGTGTCCAAGGATAATCTCGTGCTGGCAAATAAAACATGTACAACAGTTAGTTAAACATGGTTTAAATAAGGAACCTCTTCTTAGCGGTGTGCCTTAGAGGATTAGACTAAGACACCCCATAACTGAGAGGAAGTGGACTTCATCTCTACCACTAAAAGGCTTTGTTCCAGAAACAGATATTTTACCACAAACTAATCTCCCTGATTATAATTTTGTGATGATAACCAACAAGACTCAGAAAACCCTTGAGAAGTTTTGGTAGGCCAAGGGATCTAGCAGTATTTAGTAGTAAATGGCCTGCTTTTTATAATTTAAGTAACTTTTTCATAAAAATAGTCAAGATTCAACCCAAAAGAAATTCCAACTTCTCTAAGTAGTCAACTTAGACCTGAAATAAGTTAAATGTGGTAAAGGAAAGAAACAGAATATAAAAGTAATTTGAAGAAAATTAATTTAAACATGACCAAAGCACTATATACCTTAACTCTAAGGGGAAAATTTTTTTTTAACAAACAGGTATTAAGAATGTTCTTTGAAATAATTCTCTCTAACATAAACACAAACGAAGCCACAAGTCCTTTAATGGTGTCCTACCCAAAAGACATGTTTATGCAATGGTAACACAATGCTTGTGGGAGTAACCAACCAATATCTGATCTGACTTAAGGCCCATCCCATGAGATGGAACCCATTCCTGACACTGCTTGCATGACCAAGAACCTGAGACTACATACATAGCCCAGGGAAAGAACAAATCACTCCCAATGACATTCTCCTATACTCATAAGTGTCTTGTTTAGCTATCATCAGAGAAGCTTCCCCATGCAGCAAACAGGAACACATGCAGAGATCCACAGCCAGACAGTATGCCGAGACTGAGAGACCTTGGAACACTCTGTCCTAAAGGGGAGAGCCCCATCAAATCCCTCCTCAGGGTTCAGGGAACCCCACAGAAGAGGAGGCAGAAAAAGTCTAAGAGCCAAGGGGGATGGAGGACACCAGGAGAACAAGGCCCAAAAATCAATATTACAAAGCGCATATGAGCTCACAGTGACTGAAAATGCACACACTGGGCCTCCCCAGTCTGTAGCAGGTCCTTAAGGTATACATTATGGCTCCTAGTTTAGTGTTTCTATAGGATTCCTGAGTGTGTGAATATGTGAGTCTCTGATTTTTGGGCCTTCTCTTGGGCATTTTTTCCTTCTGTTATTTGTTTTGTCCAATTCCAATATGTTAGTTTTGTTTTATCTTATTATATATTATCTTACTGTGTTTTATTTTATTCCCTTAGAAGCCTGTTTGTTTTCTAGTGAGAGACAGAAAGGGAATAGATCCAGAGAGGAAGACAGGTGGAGAGAAACTAGGAGTAGAGAGAGGAAAAACTATAATCATGATATATTATGTGAGAAAAAAACTATTTTTAATAAAAGGAAAATATAAAATAATTTTAAAATCTATGCCACAATTCAATAATGATATGCCTTTAATTTATTTTAAATAATTTCAATTAAAAGGTTATTTAGTAGAGGTACAAAGGTAGCCTAAAACTGAATCTGTTTTAAAATTAATGAAATTGGGGCATGGGTCTAACTCAGTGATGAGGCACATGCCTAGCATGTGTGAAGCCCTGAGTTTCGCCTACAGCCCCCACCACATACACATGAATACACAAATAATACAAATAATATGTTAAACTCACTGGAAAAATGAACTAATCTTTAGAGACTCACAATTAATAATTCTAAAAAAGAAATGTGTATATGAATGTATATGTCATGTGTGCATATACATATATTATATGACATATATAGGCATTTAAATTTAAAAGTAGAAATTGCTATGTATCCTACTTCAGCAAGTTAATTTGGCTCTACAAACATAATTTTGATGTGTAGAACATATGTACAAATTTTAAGATATGTGTTGCAGATACTAATGCAATATTCTAAAAATTAAGTATCAGTTCAATTACTTAAATAAGGTAAAAAGGAAGTCTTTTCCGCTCTAGCTATAGCCCAAATAAAACTTTAAATTATATTAGCTTTAATTCATGAAAACCATATTACCCTGTAGTTATATTATACATACAACATATCTGTATCTTTCAACCTAACTAGATAAAACACCATCATAATAAATCTCACTGTATTAAAATAGGCACATGAGAGCCAGACAGCTGGCCAAGAGGGTGCAAGCGCCCACTGCAAAGACTGACTGACAGCCTGAGCTCAATTCTTGGGACCAACATGGTGGAGAGAGAACCAATTCACCCTGACTTCCACACACACAAGCATGCGTGTAAATGCACACGCACACGAGCAGGCACACCACCCACACACGCACATGCACACGCACACGCACACACACACAAACAAAATAAAAATGTCAAAACAAGTAAAACACGTTAACAATTTAGGCAAAGCATGGAAAATTAAATTTATCATGATTTATAATCATTTTCTCACGCAAAAATGAGGTGACAAATTTTACTACAGAACTTGCATGATTGAATACCATTTATGTTTCTGTTAGGAAATTAAACATTTTAAATAAAAATAATTTATTTAAATATATTAAAAACAAATACACTTCATTTTAGGTTTTTGTTTATATAAGAACATATCTCACCAAAATTGTACACAGTAAATATTTTAATGTTTTAAATTAGAAAACCCTAACAAATACAATTATCATTTGTTAGGAATTAGTAATTATAAGAAATGTGGACAGAATAACATTTATAATTTGTGTAGGAAACAGTTAATTTGGAACGTAGTACTTTCTTAATAATTTAAACTATATATGGTAGACTTACATTCTGCCAGCCTTTGTTTTTCCTCTAAGTTACCATACTCTGTTGTTGACACTGTGACAAAGGAGAGATGAAAAGAAAAAAGTGGAATTTGCTAAAAGTATCTTATATTTTTAGTGGGTACATACAATAGATTGCTGCAGACACTGAGATTAATACATGCTAAGCTATAAAAAAGACAGCAGAGGGAGAATGTCACAAAGTATGTTTGCGTGTCATAGAAGCCATTTCCTTAATGCACACTGAAAGGGCTTACACAACACAACAGGTGGGCCAATATTCTGAGCTTCCGATCTCATCAGACAGGAAAGGAAACTGCAACCGTGCCCAGAAGAGAAGCTGCTGCAGTCTGTCATCAGAGCTCTGGAGTAAGGCTATTAACCGCCATGCTAAGCACAGGATGCTCACTCAGCCCCCACTTCAACGAAGAACAGAACAGGAAGTAACTCTAGCTAGGGAGACCTTTCGGCCCATCATAAAACTTCTGGGATTAACAGGATTAATCAGATAAAGAAAATTGATCATTCACTCAGAAATGTCTATTTCAGATATCAGGTGAGGATCCAGGAGACCAGCATCACGGGGACCAGTGCATTAACAATGCCCTCTGCTGGGACACCAATAAATAAATGTGACTAGACTGTCCTGTTATCAGCCTAATCGGCAAAAGAATGAACATTTTCACATCATTCTACAACATTTTCTCAGTATTGCTTTATTTTTGATAGATCGGATAGATACCAACCTTAGTATTTTTCTCTTTAAAAAACCTGAAGTGACTGCTCTTAAAAGTTTAGAATGTATCTAAAGCCATTAAACACAGAGCTTTTAATGTTGCTACTTCAATCCTCGGAATATTTCATTTATAAAGGCAGTAAAATAGAATGGGTGAGTACTTTACCTGGTGGATCTTTCTTGTCATAGTACTGGTAGACGCCGATGTCTCTATCTATAGAAAGAAAGAAATAACATTAAATTATGGTAAAAAGTTCTGAGACTAAGAAGCCAAATCATACTATATCAGAGGGAATTGTGGGGAGGGGAGCAGAAACAGTCTCCTTATGTTACTAGAAATAAAATAGCTCAAAAGCATCTGGACATGGGTTCATCTATTCTAGGGATATGCAGAAACTGGAAAGTTTATCGATCTAATGAGAAAATCAGAATGGCATACGGAAACACACAGAACTAGAATGGCATGGGGGAAAGATTCGTAAAGAACTGAATCAAGGAAGACCAAGTTTTCTCTTTCACACTTCCTCTGATATTTTTCACAGGGCGCTACCAAAAGGAACTGCCACTAAGCAATGCCAAATGAAGTCAGTGGATGGAAGAAAATGCCCTAGCTGTTGGATTCCGAGCTGTGGCTTGCTTTTCTCCAATTTAGCTCAGAAGTCTAGTTCCCATCCTATAGCATTTGGGAGGAAATCTGCAAGAAGAAAGGGGGGATTACCGGGAGCTGTGGATAAATTATTATCTGAAACTTGTTTAGAGTCAAAAGGCTTCCAAACCTATTCAAATTCAGATGCTCTGCTAGGCTAGGTAAGAGACAAGTGAGGCTGCGCAGATGTTGGGATTGATTTAACCAAGGGATTCTGTTCTTGCAATTTAAACAAGAGAACAGAATAATTTTCCCATGTCTATGAATAATGAAATATCTCTTTTATTGAAGTAACACTTGTTTTCTTCCATGCAAAAATAATTCTCAGTTACTAACATAAGGAGGCTACAACTGTCTCTCATGAGGTGGAAGCAGTACAGGCTGCCCCCTAGTGGCTGACCGCTTCCAAGCTTCATCAAACTGATTGACAAAACCAAAAGAAAAACAAGTAAAACTGCTATAACTGGGTCATGTATACTTGGTATACTCATATAATATATACAAGTATACTCAATACTCATATATTTATATACTAAATACTCATATATCCAGTACTCATAATAAAGCTATATTTTATTCATCATGAAGTTAAGACATGATTTTAAAGAACGCAATTGGATGTCTGTCATTTAAATGAAAAATATCTACTAAAGACTGACTGGGAGACTGTAGCCCCTTGAGCACTTACAATATTTTGTTAAGCTGAGTAGTCATTTCACAAATGTGTTCATTTTTTGATAGTTCACAACATATTCTTACAATCTGTACACTTTCCAGTACATATGTTACACTTCAGTTTTTAAAGTTTCTTGTTATTTAAAGCTATGAGCGAAGAACTGTGGGCATTATATATGAAAGCAATATCTCCTATTAAAACATTCCAGTTTATAATTACAACATCATTCCATATACCAATACACTTACAACTCTACAATAGAGCTAGGAAGATCATAAGGGACCCTGAATTCTGTGCACAGGTCTGACCTTTCTGTACCTGGTTGAAGGGGACTGAATATAAGCAAGACAAGGGCATCTACAAAGGAGACCTGTCCCGGAAGTGTCTGGGCTAGGTGGAGAAGGTGTCCACTCAGCTAATAATACAGTATTCAGATAATACAGTACCTTAGAACCCCTGCGTGCACAAAGTATATCACAGAGCAAAATGGCTTGCTGTGGAGTATTAGGAAACCACAAGAAAAGCAACACATGTGGGTCCTCTAACTTGTGCCCAGGACCACATGGGGTAAAAGAAGGGTATCCACACAGCAGAATGGGAAAACAGAAATGCTAGACTCATATCTAGGAGTGATTGAATGGCATTCTGTCTGAGAGGAAACACAGATATGAGGAGAAGAAAATTACTTTCTGAGGTAATTTTCTCACTTTTCACTACTTTTTTCTTGTGATATACTTTCAATTTTCAAGATCAGTTTAACATCATTGTTTTCTAAAGCTTCTGCATCTTTTTTTTTTTTTTTTTTTTTTTTTTTTTGCTTCATGTATTCAGCTCTTTGCTCAGGTTTGTGGTTTTCTCTTCCCTTCCTACATAATCTTAGTGTCTCCAGTGTTACTTTTCCTACTGGCTTTTTATTGCTTGTCTTCTCCTGTAGAATATACTCACATGGCTAATGGTTCCTGAGCTCTCTGACAAGAAAGGCTCCAGAATTTTACTGAATAGGGTTTCACTGACCAGCCAGGGAAGGCCCCTAAACATCAGGGTGGGTGTTTTCTCTTTGGGTCCCTGCAGTTACCCAAGAAAAGGATTCTATTGTCAAGCCCCTTCTTTCTTAGCAAACACACAACAGTGAGAAGACATTCTCAGATGCAAATGGGTTAAGAGAATCTTATCCATCAGCATGCAGCTTCAATTTCCTCCATTTGCAGTTTAGCTGGTCTTCTTCCTGAGCTCTGGTGTCCTAGAGTTTAGACCCTCTTTAATTGAATATTCCCACATCATGGAGGTGTCTCATTATTTCATGCGTGTAGACACGCATTCCCTTTGTTGTCACCCTGGGGCCACATCCCCATCTTCCGCAGTACATGCTCCTCAAGTTTCTGCCCTTCTGAGGGTTAACAAACAATGGGCTGTCAGTAGGATTCTTTTCTCTAGGCAAATAATACTCAGATTTTTAGTTCTTTTAATTCCTTCATGTCTTCTATTTCCAAAAAAAAAAAAAAAAAACTGTTCCACTGAAAGTGTCCTTTACCTAATCTCATATTTTGTGTGTTTATGTAACTTTATTTTAAATCAGTTCATCTTTTCTTAAGAGTTTTGGGGAAAAAAACAAATATGAGTCAAATCTTAAATTAGAAATTCCATCTCAATATACTTCAAGGAAAAATAAACAACAATATGGCAATCATTTGTTATTGTATGTTCAATATTCAATATTAAGAAACAGTATTTTGCTGGGTAAACCATTTTCTTGATAAATATATAAAAGTAATGTAAGTAAAACTGCATTAATCTGGATAATTAAGGTAGAAAAACAGTTTATAAGCTGTTTCCTAATGAAACATTTTATCCTATAATATTAATAAACATTGTTAAAGCATAGTTATATTATTTCCATTCAAGAAATACAAAGCACAAAGAACACAAATAATTGTACATCTCAACTACATGTTTGAAATGTTTTTAATATCAAACAGAAATGTCTTTTCATGAGCTAGTCTGCAAAAATGTATGACAATATAGCAGTTGAGCAAGCTTAATAAAAAATTGAAGATGTATCTTTAGAAGGAAGAGCTGTTAGACTAGTAAAACAAATTTCCTAACTCAATGCAAAAGTAAGTTAATATGAGTATTTAAAAGAATTTTTTTTCACCACCCAGTTTTCATTAAGGCTGAAGAAAACAAGAGAGACTGCAATTCTATCTGCCAAATCCAGGCCTAACTTTGTCAGTGCATGAGAGACTGAAGCCCTGACAGCGATCCAGAGTTCACTCACCCGCAATGTGCAAGGTACTCTTCAGGGACCACAGGTGTAGTTCAGTCAAGCAGAAAGACATCTGATGGCAGAGGAATCTCCGTCCTGTGTAAGTAAATAGGAAAACACAGTGGTACTGATCAATTATTTCCCATTGCCATTCACAATCTAACCCCCCCCCCAAAAAAACTAATAGCTGAGACATGGTCCATTAGATTAAACACACTTTCATATTTGGTTAACCATCCAGAAGTAAGCTCTAGAAAAAGAAAACTAGACTTCTTTTCCTGAATTTACTATGTTACCACATTGAGAAATGTGGTAAGGAGACTATCTATATTTGGGTGTTCAATAACATATGTTTGGTTACAGCTTTAAGTATACTAAGAATTACTTAGTGTGTGAACATCTTTTAAGTCATAATTTTAGGAAAAGTGAGTCTGCTAGGTACTTATTAAGTACAAACTCATTTTTGTGGTACATTTCAATATATAAGCAAATATTTTAGACACCTCACATATAAACAGGCTACAGAGGAATGTACAGGGCAAATGGCATATAGTTAATAGCATATGAGGTGCAGTTACTTAACAGTAAAACTGTGTAAGACTCCATTACTATTCAGATGATGTGCTAATCTGCACATTAGGGTAGACAAACTAAACACATTTTAAAAATCAAGACAGTTAAAATGTACATCCTGGATTCCCTCCTATTTTAACAGCCAGAACTACTAATACTAGCATAGACCATTGATGCTTAAAAGAAAATCATATAGAACCTCATTAATTTGGACTGATTGGGAGAAAACCAGTCAAGCTCTAAAGAAAAATTCACATTTTACAAATATTTAACATTAAGTTTATATAACCTTCAAATGTTTGTACAGAAATTCATACAGCATACTAAACATGTACTGTTACATATTAGAAACACATCTAATGATTTAAACTAAGCATAGTACAGAAACTGTAAAAGAAATAAATGTTCTTTTCAATGAACTTCTGGAAAACAAAATGAGCTTGAAAAGTATTTTAAGGCAGATTTCAATAGAGGAAAAGACCCTTCTGCTTCTTTAACATTAGGAGTGGCGAAAATATTTCCCACATTATTCATGGGTAATAATCCAAAGTAATTTCAGACATAATAAAAATTTCCCTTACCTTTGCCTCACTTTTACAGAATTGGAATATAATTACAATCATAAAGAAACATATATTTCTGCTAAGGAGACAAGCTGTGCCATGGTTGAAGAGGAAAAGTGGGAAATGTGGTAATTTTAAAGACGGACCCAATTCTTCCTGAACAAGAGAACTCTGAGAAAGCATCAGAGAAGTTGTGAAATGTCCCATGAGGCTTCAAAGAAACACAGGATTTCAATAGTTTAATGATGATGGAGGTGGTAGTAGTGCATATGGTAATTTGGTGAAAAGGATGACTTTCTCCAAAAAACAGTGCAAAGGTTAAAAAAAAAAAGAAAAGAAAGAAAAAGACAGATAAAGTGAGCTAGGAAGGTTGCTCAGTAGGTAGGTAAGAATGCTTGTGCTACAAGAATGAAAACTTACATATGGATCCACAGCACCCATACAAAAAGCCAAGAACACAGACCCATACACCCACAAACTCACATGTATGCACCATACACAATACACACAGGAAGAGAGGGAAGGAGGGAGGGTGGGAAAGAGAAAGAGGGAGGGAAGGATGTAGGAAGAAAGTCAAGTAAGCAAAGAAGGGGTAAGAAGGAATCAGGCTATAATGATAATTTTTGGACTGATTCTAAATGTATTTTCTTCTTGCATCAAAATGTCTTCAAATGCAGTAGATGAAACAAAGGACACCTCATCCTCTATCTCTACCTTGCTATAACTAGATGATCATCTCTCCTGAACATTAATGAGTTAATACTAAGTAGAGTAGGTGGCTTATGAAGAAAAAGCATCCTTATATGAAGAAGGACACATGCAAAAGAAGACATTTGAAATAGGATACACAAATGTGTTGACATTTGATTGTGTTAAACAAGGATGAAGCAGGTGACACTGGGTATTTGAAGTCACCAACTCTAGACTACACTGCAAAATAAAAAATCCTATTCCTCAACTTAGAGTTTATTCAGATGCCAATAGAAATAAATTGTGGCAATGTAGGCAGAGTCAAGTTTGGTTAAGCTGCTTATAGTTACATAAAGACTATGAGTTACTACAGATAAAAGCCCACAGATTAAGGAGTACACTTTTAAATACATACTAAAAGGAGACAACACTTGAAATCCTGTTTTTAGTCAACTCGATGGAAATATACTTGCCAAACTTTGTCCTGATAACAAAAAGGAGAGTAAAACACATTCTTAGTAGGATACATGTGTTGCCTATGTATCTATTTTAATATGGAAGCCCTAGAACACTGGGATGTTGTGATATTGGGAGAAAGGGTGAAACAAGCTTGGTGGAGAGTGTAAGATGTCAATAACATATAAGCTCGTCCTCTGCATCTCCCACAGGACAGCCTATGGCCACAGACAGGTCTTCCAGTTCAGCACTCCAGGATTCATATCCGGAAGTAATGAGAGTGAAGGACTGAGGAAATGTGCTGCTGCAGGGACTGAAATAAGCAGCACAGCAGCCCCTGTATTGACGGACTCAGAGAAAGTATGGCATCCAAGACACACCAGGACCTGTGCCTGGCGAAAGGAGATGTGAGGGTCAAGGAGGGGACGACAGCATTTGAAAAAGCATGTAGTAAGAAGCTGAAGCATACGTGAGTGAAGCAGATGAAAAGGAAATGGCCAGTGAGGTCACGACTGGACTTGCTCATAGACACACAACACAACCCTGTGAATTACCCAGCCTAAGGAATCAAAGAGAGCGCTTTGCATTAATGGGGAGAAACATTCAAATGTTATTCACCCTTTCCTCTTGAACTTCAACTATCTGTGAGGAAAACTATAAAAATTTGAAGAATAAATAACAGAATAAATATAATGACCAGTAAAATCTACAATGATAATTAGACAGGGAAGAAAGAGACCAAACCAGTACCTCTTTTTAACCTCCCAGATGCCTTGCCATCTTTAAAACTGTACAGGTTTTTTAAACACTTTGGAAACATTTTGCATCTTACTCAAGAATGTCACCAGTGGAAAGGAATGCTGGTAATTTCCTGGTATGAAAAATCTGCCTGGAGGAAGTAATCAAGACTGAGCATGTTCCATCCAAATATTGTATTAGTGCAGAAATAGCTGTTTTGAAGCAGGAAAGAAAAGAATTTCAGAAACACTCTGGATGCTGTACTTGGGGAAGGAGGTGTGGGCAGGGACTGAAAGACAAGTCAAACAGAGGTTCCTGAGCTGGGAAACACCAGCCCATTAGTGCCCTTGTCCCTGTCTCTGGGCGACCCAGGGCTAGAACAAAGGTTGCTATGCAGAGCAAAACTACAGGGCCTGGAAAACAATAACTCAAGGAGTAAAACAATAAATAAAATGACAACCATTAATTTAAAATCTCACTCATTTTTAAGTTTATGTCAGTTTCAGTTGCCTCATAAGACCATTTTGTAATTCAAACATCCAGTCTTCATGACTAGATAAACAGTACGATTTAATTAAACCTGACATAATTTAAGATGGCATTCTGTACAAGGAAAATCTGTGAGAGTGCAGATTTTGAAGAAAGAGAGGTAAGAAAACCCTTTTGTTTCCTATTTGATTCTCAAAAGGTTCTGAGTTTAAAGACAGGCTTCCCATCACTTTCTTCCATTTCAGTTACATGACTTTTTTCTGCAGTAGCATGCAAAGTAGAAATCATTCCAGTAGCATACTGCTGATAATGTTCTTTTGGAAAACAAATATATGTTGGAGAAGAAAAGATTGATTATCACTTAATAAATTACAAAATGCTTGTCTTCTGCAAAGTAGCGAGGTCTGTAGTTGCTTGTCTTCTGAAGCCAGCTATTTTGACTGCTATGGGAGGAAAGGAAGCTTGAGGGCAAATAAAACTCTAATGTAAAACATGCTAGCAGAAAACTAATGAAGCAAGAAAAGACAGTGCTAGGACACCATGGCGCCCACAAGACATTTAAAATGGATGTATGTTAGCAGAAAACTGCACAGAGCCTGAGGGAATCTTTCTTGGGCATAAGTGTGTAACATACACTTGCTACTTATTGTCATATATTTCCTTGAGGAGTCTAATTGAAAATGTTTAAAAACAAAAGGTAACTAAATAGTATAAATTTATGTAAATCACTGGTGCAATGCATAGTTACAATCATAATTACTTTTCAATTACATAAAATTCAGTGTATTATCGTACAATTACTTTCTAATATCACTAACACATGGTACCATGAAGCACCTGTTAGGTATATTCATGAACACATTCAATCAAAGACATTGCCACAAATAAAGACTTTTTTAACAGAAACTTTCAACAATGGACCAAACAAGCAAAATTTTATGCAAAAGGACAGGGGAATCTCAAAGTAATGAAACCTAAAACTTAGGCTAAATTTACTGCACTGGACTACTAGGGACAACATTTCATTTGTGATCACTGAGGCTTATTGCATCTAAATATAATTGACTATAACAAGCACTTAAAGTATCTTATGTGTATATTGTTTTACTCAGATACAAAAATTTATAGCAGGTTCTCAACTATCAAATAGTATAGCATAGCAGACAAAATAACCATGGAATATGAAATCTGCAATGCAAGCTATTTTAGAAAAATAAACAAAGGCCTCCAGGTGCCCAGTACGATGTACAGTTTGGTAAAGAAAGTATTACTGTTGTTATTATTATTTTGCAGGCAGGGTCATACTATGTAGCTATGCAGCCATGATCCTGAAACTCTCTATGCAGACCAGATTGGACTTGAACTCACAGAAGTCTACCTGCTTCTGCCTCCTGAGTGCTAGGATCAAAGCAGTTCACCACCATACTTAACTAAAGAAATGACCAAATAAAATATTTGAGGATTGGTAGATTTTCCATGAGAAAGACAAAAACTAAAATATATTAAAGGAAAAAAAAAACACATAAAGAAATAGAAAAATATGGGGGGTTGGAGAGATGGCCTTCAAAGGTTAGGAGCACCCACATG